TTACATATATATAAGACGATAAATACATGGTTCAGGGCAGTTCCGACTGGTTTTAGCTGTTTATTTCTTATGTATATGACATCTGTAAGAACCGAAATAACTAAAATTAAAACCACAAATTGAACAAAACCTGAAATCATAAACTGAAACCGTGTTTACTTGAAATAAAATGAATGTTAGCTGAAATAAAATAGAAGATGTAAAAACTTCACTTAATACTTAGTTTATTAACATTGAATATTATTAACTTAATTTAGTTGCCTTGGAATCAATTCTTTCATGTAGTTTAACGTGTTAAAAATTGAAATAAATTAATAGAGATATATAAAAAATGGAAAATATAAATCTGATTCAAAAACTGAAACTGAAATAGTGAGCTGATCTGTTGTCTACTAACTAGACAGCACAAAAATGAAACCTTCTAAGCAAGCTCCGCTCCAAACCCTAGTGAGTCGACTACATAAGCAGCATGTTAAAGCGTCAAAGACACTGTTCTAGAAAGCATAATTAGCAACACTTTATGTATTTTGTCTTTAATGTGTCTGTATTTTGTCTAACTGCACTGGCAGATTTATTATTTTTTTTTTCAAAGTACAAATAAGTGAAAAAAAGAAAAATTTCAAGTGCAGTGAGACAAAATACAGACACATTAAAGACAAAATACATAAAGTGTTGCTTCTAATGCAGCTGCGTCCTGTTTCAATGATTTTTTTGGCATTTTATCTGGAAAACAATGCAAAAAGGCTAATTAAAAAACTTTTAAGATATATTTTTTGCAGTGTAATATTATCGTTGTTAGATATGAAATAATGAAATAAAATAATGCAAAATAATTATGCTTTCTAGAACAGTGTCTTTGACGCTTTAACATGCTGTTTATGTAGTCGACTCACTAGGGTTTGGAGCGGAGCCAGATCCAGACTGACAGACTCAGAATACAGACGCGGATGGATGGAATCAAGAATGATATATAAGTATGAAGAAATCAATAATGTATATAAGTACACATTACGATTTTTTACTGTTTCTGAAAGAAGTTGCGTGTATTTGAAGAAAAATACAGTAAAAAGTGTGATGTATAATGTAAAATAGCTGTTTTCTATGTGAATATTGGTTAAAATGTAATTTATTTCTGTGATCAAAGCTGAAATTTCAGCATCATTATTTCAGTCTTCAATGTCACATAATCCTTCAGAAATCATTCTAATTACACGTGTGTGTGTGTGTGTGAGTGTGTGTGTGTGTGTGAGTGTGTGCGCGTGTGTGTGTGTGTGTGTGTGAGTGTGTGTGTGTGTGTGGCTGTAGGGTGTTGTACGGTGTAACTGATAGGGCTGGATGTTTCTCTGAGTTGTTGTAAACAGGCGTTTAGTGCTGGAATCTTGAAGCGTTTCAATCAGTGCGTGACGGATCAGTAATCCTCTCAAAGTCTGCGCCACACGCTTCCCCTCTGGACACGAGTGTTCACATCTCACACACACACACACACACACCAACACACACACACACACACTCACATACACACATACACACACACACATACACAGAGATTACATGTCACAGCCAATTAGGAGTTTAAGCAAATATGTGTGTGTGGGGGAGGATTTATGTTTCTGATTGCTAATTTCACAAAAAAATCTTCCATCAACTGTGATATTGTGTAACTCTTGGTGGCATCTCTCATCAGGACTGTGTTTCATGTCTTTTGGTTGTGTTTGTGATGTGTCTTCAGGCTGGTATCGATGGCAAACATCTGCTCTGGTGTCTCCTGCAGCTAATCACAGGCTTTGATTACTCGCCCGCAAACAAAGAGCAACATTAGGAGCATTTTCTGTCTGTAATCCTCACAGAAACGCCGCGTTTGTCTTCTACTGGTGATAATGCTCGACATCCATGAATTAATCTGTGACGTGAAGAATGAGGATTATTAAACCGAGTGTTTCCACTAGAGACATAAAAACACACTTCAGCGGTTTCAGATCGTTTCTGAATGATCCAAATTAATTTTATAACAGTATTAATCCCCGCTTTCTGTACACATTGTTATTGGGATCAAGTCTGATCTCAGATGCTCTTTGTTCAGAGTGACCCTTTAAAGCACTCTTAGTTTAGTCAAAATTAAAGATCCTCCCAAACATCCTAAAATCACATCAGTGTTCACTTTAAAGGGACAGTAAAGATCTTTACATTTAGATCTATTCAGCTCCATCAAACACACAAAGATGACGGATGAGAGGACATTTATATGACATGAGACAAACTACAAACAACACACACACACACACACACACACACACACACACCTCACACTCACACTCACACTCACACTCACACTCACACTCACACTCACACTCACACTCACACTCACACTCACACTCACACTCACACTCACACTCACACTCACACTCACACTCACACTCACACTCACACTCACACTCACACTCACACTCACACTCACACTCACACTCACACTCACACTCACACTCACACTCACACTCACACTCACACTCACACTCACACTCACACTCACACTCACACTCACACTCACACTCACACTCACACTCACACTCACACTCACACTCACTCTCTCACACACACACACACACACACACACACACACTCACACATTAATCCATCGGCCTCCGAGGCGTTCAGATTTCTATTTATCATACCAGTTTACCTGACAACATTTCTGTTTTTCCAAAACAACAATTTTCAATGGATTAATAAAATCTCAAGTATAGATTGATTTTGCTCATGACCAAATGCGACATGAAGACAGCACTTAATATGACGTTTAAATAAATAAAAAAAGTGAATTTTTTATATTTACATGGGTAAATATTAAACAAAGATTTTAGGCTAAAGTTTGTGTGTGTGTGTGTGTGAGTGTGTGTGTGAGTGTGTGTGTGTGTATGTGTTT